GCCCCAAGATGCACCCAAAACGGCCCCAAATGGCCTCAAGATGGCCTTAGACTGCCCAAAAGGCCCGCAAGAGGCCTCCAAGACGGCACAAGAGCCCTCCAAGACGTCCTCCAGGAAGGCCCGAAATGGTCAAGATGGCCTCCAGACGTCCAAGGTGACCTGCAAGATGCCTCCAAGACGGCCAATGTGGCCACACTGCCCCTTTCTCCTCACTCTCCTCCTCTTCCCCAACCTCCTCCACGTGTTCCCCGAAAGCTTTCTAAACCGATTCTGACAACACTCGTTCCGAAAGATTGGTAAGGATCTGACCCAACCTTCGGCCAGCAGGCCCCAAGACGCCTCCAAAAGCTCACAAGAGCCCCCAAGGGGCCCCGAACACGCCCCTTCCTCACTCTCCTCCTCTTTCCCGTCCTCCCCCACGTGTTTCCCGAAGGCTTTCCAAACCGATTCGGGGAACACATGGTCCGATAGCTTGGCAGGGCTCTGGCCTCAACGTTCGGCCACATGGACGCTTCCGAAAGGGAAGGGGGCGGCGGTGACTCGCCGTAGGCGTCTTCGATGACGCCAACGTTTCAGTATGCGCTGGTGATTCCTATCCGCTCCCAGATGTTGTTCCCATATGCGCCAAGGCAGCGCCGAGACTCAGCGACGCGACTGTCATGTCCCATTATGATAGGTAGGGGGCCTGCGGCAGGAGGCGAAGCCCTTACAGATAAACCGCTGCTGGGCCCAGGACTAGCCAAGACTGGTATAGTTGTCTGGTTGTCATTTTCTGGCACGGCCGCATGGAGACACCCGAACCAAAGAACATGCCAAGGTGGAAGGCGCAGACACGACGATTTTAAGGGTCGGGTACCCCTCAGACGCCCATTATATTATGACCCCCCGTGTCAAATGTAAAGAACCCCATGGCGACTCGCTTATGGCAACATTGCAACACACCGTCTTGAACTCAGACGCCCTCGATGCATTTTGTACTGTGATATACAGGGGAGCTGAGGGAACACGTATCGACCAGAAAAAAATGTGCCGACACGCACTGACCTCCTTGAAGATAGTCATGCGGTGCTCATCCGTTGAATCCGAGTGGCTGGGGTCGACCTATGGGCGGCTAGGCGGGCCGCTCTTGCTGGTACACCCGTGGACCCACGCGCCCCGAGGGAGACGGGGCCCGGACCCTGGGGCCAAGCCTTCGTCCTGGCTCGTTGTTCGATCATCCCACGGCCTGCCCGAGATCACCGCCCGTCCCCCCTCGTGCGTGTCGGGCCGGACGGCAGGTGGAAGGCTGGGTGCAGTATGGGATAGCAGAAGGCAGGGGCATCGAATCCGTTCACGCAGCTCGCTCTCCCGGCGCCTCCTGGCGCCGGAGGGGGAGCATGTCGAGGAGAGCGCCCGCCGGCGGGGACGGGGCCAACTGCACGCGGCAGATGCCGTACCCCCCTCCTTCCTTATCCCCTTCCCTTTCCCCCGACCCGAGCATGATTACCCGCCAGTCGGAAGAAGTAGATAGAAACACGAAGTAGCAAGGCGTTGGAAGTAGATTGGGATTCCGCCCACCCCCCTGGAGAGGAAGGAAGAGGGAAAGGAACTCGACGCGTGAAGTAGGAAGGCGCCTAATGGAGATTGGGATCTGGGAGTCCAAGGATACCTACTTTCGATGACCGACAAGTACCTTTTCCTCCTATGAGCGATGGCCTTGGGATCTCGTCTTGCGCGCGCGCGCTCTCTGTGAGCGATGAGTCCCAGCCGCGCCGAGGTCGGTCTGCAGCGCGGCGCCAGCCGTCCGGGCGGCCCTTCCGCAGCTGCCCCCCCACGAGTGACTAGCCTCGAACGTGCCCGTGCCCCTAAGATCGGCAAGCCCAAAGCGATGACAATCTTAGGGATGTGCCGTCAAGAACTGAGGGAATGCTTACGATTTGCACCGAGGTAAGGTGTTGCCCAGCATAGGGATAGGGATATATACCAAGCTGGTAAACGAGGTTGCTCTTTGCTTCGCGCCGTGCGCCGCGCGGAACCACCAATGCCTCTTCTCCTCCGCCTCCTCCTCCTCCCCCTCCTCCTCCTCCTTCTCCTCGATGCTCCCTCCTCTCGGGCGCAGGCTCACGTGGATTAATGATCCACGGAACTGGTGCGTGGGCGCCAGATGCATGGATCGCGAAGGTACCCCCGACACATGCGGCCAGCGCCGCAGCATTTGGCAACAACGCGCGCCGATGTCGTGTGGCAACGGGACCCGTCGCAAATGCACGCGTTTTCATCCACGTTGGCGTTCCCTAGATGCTCGATGGAGAGAGGGAGGCCCCCTCCTGGTCTCCCCTCCCTCCTCGGCCCCTCCCCTCCCCTTTCGTCGCCGAGGTGGCCGCGCGGGATCACCCTGGCGCTCCCGCGCAGCCCCCCGAGCGACGATCCGAAGCGGGCCCGCGCAAGGTGACGCAGCGACCTGTACGCGGTGGCCTGCGCGGGCCGACACCGCGGCACACCGCGTGGAGAAGAGGGCGCTTGCGCGGGACCTCGCGCAAGAAACTCACGCGCGCGAGTGTCTGCGCCGCCGGCCCCGTGTTCTTCCGTCACTCACCTGGAAGTCAAGGCCCTCTACACAGGCACCTTGGAGAACCAAGACGTAGGCGTGCCCAGGAAAGCTGCAACCGTGAGTCGAAGCATGGCCTGTTCTTCGTTTTCCCCAAATGGAACCTAGCGGAAACACTAGTTTGCCATGTCCTGGTTTGGGGGGCTTTGAGTTGGGCGCGAATTGATGGAGGGCGATGAATGGGGGGGAAGAAAGGTGCCCTTGTCGGTCCCTCTCAAGGGCCCCTTTAGGGGCGTGCGAGAGCCTTTTTTCGGTAGCCCTCGCTGCTTCCTCCATTTATCGCCCCTCCACTGCGTGCCCTCCAGTTGGGGAGGAAGAGCAACTCCACAACTCAGCCCGCGGATTTGGAAGAACAGACGACGGCATCAACATGATATAAACTCTCAGGATGGCCGCGCGGACTTGCCCGGCACGGCGATGGACGTCCCCCCCCACTGGCGCGACGAGCTCGCCCGGGGGGGGGCCAGCGCCGACCCAAGAAGTCCGCGCGGATCTCCTAGAGTCGATGCGTATGGCAAGATATTGCTTCGAACAGTCCCCGCCCAAGAACGCGAGGCGGCATAACCCAGGGAGCACAGGCACACTTTGGATCTGGCGTCCGCGGTATGCAATCGCCATTCGTCGAATGCACGAGACGGGACAACCAGGGAGCACCGGGACGCGTTGGGCCTGGCGACCGCGGTACGCATGGTGTGCGAGGCGGGTCGGGAGCTCACTCTTCACATGTTCTCTTGCACAGCTGTGCTCTAGAGCTCGGACATCCTTATTTTCGTCGTGGTTCGTGGTGGGTCGTCCACCTCGGCCCCTCCCCTGAGCCTGAGCCCCAGCTCCCCTGGGCGACCCACCCTTCGGAGGCTTGCTCCGTCCAGGCTTCCCAGGACAGCCCCCCTGGGCCGCGGACATCCTTATTTTCGTCGTGGTTCGTTGTTCGTCGTGGTTCGCCCCCCTCGGCCCCTCCCCTGAGCCTGAGCCCCAGCTCCCCTTGGCCACCCCCCCTTGGGACCCGCCCTCCGTCCAGGCTTCCCAGGGCAGCCCCCCTGGGCCCCCCCCTGGACGGGGCCTCCAGTCCTTCGCAGCTCCTTTGTGCAAGAGCCAGGGCACGCGTGCCACTTGTTATATCGAAGAGCCCCAGCGCGTCTGGTGGGGAATTCTTTGGTTTGTCAGTTGGTAGATCGCTCAAGTGCGCGGCGCGATCGTTTCCGCGCACATGCGTCCGACCTGGGGCCCCGCATCGCTCCACGCTCGATCTGCACAGCGCGGGGTCGTGCGAGCGGCTTCCAAAATGACGAGGAAGAGGAGGACCGAGGCCGGCCAGATGCGCTGGGCCAGGTGCGCTCGTGCTGTATCAGGTACGGCGCGAAGGCAGGGGGCAGGATGTCGGGTACAGCCCGTATCCGGCATCATACCCTACCCACCCATCCTTTCACATTGCGTTGTTGTCTTCTCTATCTGCGTATGCGTGTCACAGCGGACCTGCAATTCCAAAACGGACCCGTCGTGTTGTGCGCCATCGGAAGAGGGGAGCTGCGTTGGAGGAGGAGGTTGCGGATGAGCAGGAATATGAGCAGGAGGACAAGGAGGATGAGTAAGGAGGACGAGGACGAACAGCAGCAGCAACAGATGGAGTAGAAGGAGCGGGAGGAGCACGAGAACCAGGAGAAGGCGGGGGAGGGGGACGGATGAGGGCGACAACGATGGGGCAAGACACGGATCCCGTTAATCGTTGCCCGCGCTTGGGCGAGAGCGCCAATTCTGAACGACGCGAGCAACGCGCCGATCCTAAACTAAGGCCAACGCTGCAGCCGCAACACCACTCTGAGACACCGACAAAGCTTCGACTGAACAACAAAACACAGGAACGACACAGGTTCTGTTTCAAATCCGCTGTGAGAAAACGAAACGCGGAGGGGGGCGAGCCCCTCTCTGGCCATCTTCGGGGGACAGAGCAGGGCAGTGCCCATTTCGAGCAATTCGAGAGGAAGAGAAGGGGGAGGATGACGATGATGGGGGTAGAAGGGGAGAACGAAGAGGGAGAAGAGGCGGAAGATGCGGGCAGGCCGGAGAAGGAGGAGGAGGGAGGGAGGAGGAGGAGGAGGAGGGTATGGCAGGAATGGGAAGAGGCCTGGCCTACTGTGAGATGACGATTCGTGCAATAATGTGGGCGGGACGGTCACAAAATAGTTTCCGAATCTTTGGTTTCCGCTTCGCTTCAGCTCCGTCTGGCCCGTCGACTGTCCCTGGCGCGCGCCCGAGGAGGAGCGGGGGGGAACGGTTTACTAACAAATAGTTTCCCGGCCAAGGGCAAACTAATCTCATCATCCTCCCAGGCGCAGCCGCGTGAACACGCCTCCCAGTAATTTCGTAATCATCATCCTGCATTGCGCACCCGCCGCGGCCCCTGACCCAACGCGTCCCCGAAATTCTCGTCGGTGTGCCCCGTGTAAACGCCGGGCACCCGATACCTCGGCGATCGCCCGACCCTGAGCGTCATCGCCGTCAGTCTCCTCCTCCCCCTTTACCTTCTACCCCTCTCCCCCTTCTCCCTCCTTCCCAAAACTCCTTGAGCCCTCAGCGAAACCCTCAAAAGCCCTCTCATCTTCTCCAAAAATCCGCTGGTCAGCCAGTGGAGCTAACTAAACAGCACGGGATTCGTTGCAACAGTGATGGCCCATGCAAACTCAAAAAGCAGCATGTCTGTGCAAGGCTCCTGCACCGATCTCGAGCATCGGGGCCAAACTCTGCGTTCTGCGTGGAGTGATCTGCTTCTTCCTCCTCCGCTACCGCCCCCAGCTAGGAACAAGGAACCGCGACAATATCAGTGAGCCACCCGAGTCCGCTCGCACGGGTGCGCCCGTCCTCCCTCCCTTCCTCTCTCCCCCACGCACTGATCAGCGGGAGTGGCGGAACGACAAGGTCGTCGGGCGACAAGATACGCAAGCCTCCTCCTCCTCCTTACACCGAAGGCAAGCTTGGTCGATGGCCCGCTGCTGTCCTGGCCCCCCCTACAGAAGCGCCAGTTTTGCACTTTCCTCATACAAGCAAATTACTTTCACACCACACTCCTCCATCGCCATGCGATTCAAAAAATCGCCACGCGAAACGGGAGCAACAGAGCCGACATGCGATATTCGAACTAAGGAGGTAAGCCGTGGCCAGAGAGAGAGAGAGAGAGAAAGAGAGAAAACAAAGAGAGAGCGAGCGCGCGGAAAATAGAGACTTACCACGATTGGCAGGTTCTGAATAGGCTCCGCCGAAAGGGGGCGAGGTCGCTCGGGGCCACGCCAGAGACCCGCGCCGTCCTGGCGAGTGGCAGAGCCGAGGGGGGCGCTACCATCTTCCCCACCTCCACCTCTCTCTCCTCCCCCTCCTTCCCCCCCTCCTCGTCATCCCCACCTCCCCATTCGTGTCCTTCTCCTCGTTCTCCCCCTCCCCCCCCTCCACCTCTCCTCATCCTCTTCGTCCTCCCTCCCCCCCCTCGTCCTTCTCCCCCCCATACGATCCGAGAGAACAAACAGCAGAGGAGGAGAAGAGAGAGAGAGAGAGGCGAGGAGGAGGAGGCCACTTCCTTGTTCGGTTTTCGTCAGACTCAAGGCGGGGATCGTAGCGGCGTACAACATGACAAAACATGACCGTGAAGGTATATAAATTGCCATCGCTCGGACGTCCAATCCAGGTGTTTTTTGTTCGGTTTCTTGCGTGGTTTTTGCCATATGGTCCAGGATGCTCCTCGATGGTCCTCGCCGAGGAAAAGTGCACGCGTCCGAGCGATGCCCAGAACCGAATCAGGAACAAAGTCCCTGAGATAACCAAGTGCGATTCACAATGCCGTGGTGCAATCGAGTGCCGCAAGGTGAGATGAGAGAGAGAGAGAGAGAGAGAGAGAGAGAGAGAGAGAAACGATCCAGAGTGGAAGAAGGAGAGGCTCACAAGGGAGCTTAGCCAGGATGCCCTGACAGGGTAGACGCACGCAGGGCGACCCCCACCCACCTCCACCGTCCTCTCCCCCGATCGCTCCCATGACAAGTGCCCTCACCTGAAGCCGCTTCATCCTCCCCCTCGGCGCCCATCTCCTCCAGAGTCCCGAGCCCTGTGCCAGGAGAACAGCGCCGCCCTGGGCGCGTCGCTGCCGTTCTCGAGGCCGTGGTGCTCCTCTCGCCAGGACCGCTCAGGCGCTCTCTGCGTTGGGCGGTCGTCCCGCCCACCCTCCTTGTCCTCCTCCTCCCACGCTGTCCACGTTCCTCACCCATCGTCATCCTCCTCCTCCGTCCTTTCCTCCTCCTCCTCCTCCTCCTCCTCCTCCTCCTCCTCCCCCTCCTCCCCTCCTCTTCCTCCTCCTCTTCCTCCCCCAGACCTCGACGTCACTTTCGTCCTCATTCTCCCACCCACTACTCTCTCCTCGCTCCTCTTCCTACCCCTCCAGAGCTCCTTCCTTCTCTTTCACCCTTCTTCCTCCTAGAGGGGGATAGATAGAGAAGAGGGAGGATAATAAAGAGAGAGGGAGAGAGAATAACAAACAAGAGAGAAACAGAGGGAACCCATACATACATGTGTAGATAAATTCTTACATATCATATACACATATATCTACATACATGCAACTAACATGCAGAGGAGAAGGCGGAGGAGGAAGAGGAGCCTGTTATGGGGTTCCTGGGGCTCCCCCTCCTTCTCCAAACCTCCTCCTCCCTCTCGCCCTCGTCCTCGTCTTCCTCCTGGTCCCCCTTCTCATCGCTTCTCGTCCCCCTTTGCCCACCACTCCTCCGCCTCCACCTCCTCGTCCTACGCCTCTCCCCATTCCCCCTTCTCCTTTGGACCGCCTCCCGCCTCGCCCCCCCTGTTACTTTGGCGTTTTGGAGTGCAGCCCCTCCTCCCCCTCCCCGCCTTCGCCTCCCAATCCTCCTCCTCTACCTCCCCCCCTCTGCCTCCCAATCCTCCTCCTCCACCTCCCCCCCACCCCTTCCTCCGCCTTCGTCGCCTCTGCCCGCCAGATGCGGCGCCACTTCCTCCGCCTCCATCTCCTCCCCCCCTCCGCCCTAATGCCCTCGCGGATGCGCTTGCCATGAAGGAAACGGGCCCTGCTGGAAACGGGTACTGAACTCCATGGGCTATCCCCCTGGGACGCTCTTCTGCGAACTAGCATGGAAGAAACATACCCTAACCGAAACGGGTCCTGGTCACGGGGCGTTCACACGGAAGCAAATTCTCATCGAGGAGGGCCCTAAAGAAAACCACCCGGGACCCGAGCCTCTTAAGACGCGTCGGCTTGGCTCGCCAACGCTCGGACGTCCATTCCCCGTGCGCTTCTCGATTTCGTGCGATTCTTGTTCGCAAGATGATCCGAGATGCTCCTCGATGGTCCTCGCCGGGGGAAACAACACATGTCCGAGCGATGCCAAAAGATGGGGCGTCGCTCGGGAAGATCCGGGCTGCCACGCCACGCTCTCGGCGAGCCGCAGCCTATGGAAGGCATCCCGAAGCTGGCAAACTTCTGGGAACGCGCACAGCAAATCGGCAACGAGCGCGGGGGGAGACGTGGGAAGGAGAAGGCCTTCTCACAAGGCGGCGGGACTTCTCAGAAACCCTCTGGCCTTCTGACAGGTTGTCTCTGTCTTCGGCGGCGGCTAAAAAAACTTCTCAGAAGGCCGGGGGACTTCCGAGCCTTCTGAGAAGGCAGGCCCATTCTCCATTCTCGCTTCCCCCCCCGGGCTCGCCGCTGAGACAAAACGTCTCAAGCTTCAGGCTTTCACGGCGACGCGAAGCGGGGCGGAGCGGCCCACTGCCGCCGCCGCCGCCGCACCCCTGCATGGGGGCGGGGCCAGTCCAAGAAGGAGTCGTACAGGATGACGGAACCCTGTGGCACGGCGCCCACCAGGTCAATCTTCTGCTCGCCCTCGGGGCCAGGCCAGCGGGAGGGGAGGGGCGGGGAGGAGAGGGGGAGGGATGGCGGATGGAGAGAACATGTGGGGGGGAAAGATGGAAGGGAGGGATGGAGGATGAGCCGGAAGGGAGAGAGGAAGAGGGGGAGTGCTTGGAGGACTTGCGCAACACAGCGTGCAGGGAGAAAGAAAGAGGGGGGGAAGGGCGAGGCGTCGGCCAGCCGACGGATGCGAATCATGGTCGGCCGATGCCTGAGCTGCAACCACAGCGGCCTCGCGCTCCCAGCCAGCAACACGGGCCGTCTGAGGTGGGCCTGCATAGCTAACACATTTACCTAGCGCGGTGCGGGCCGTGACCCTTCTTGGAAGTGTTGGGACAAGAAAAAAGAAACTGGCACCCGTCAGCAATGGCTGAACGTCCGCAGTGGAAACAATGCATGCTGAAACGGTCCCAGAACCCAAGGGGATAGGAATCACAAAGAATGAGGCCGCAGACAAACCGGGGCCCTGGGACCGAAACCACAAAATCCTTGGGCCACTTCTGGGCCACTGTATCGGATATGCAATCCGTCGAGCATAATACCAGGAGCTTGCCCCATGTAGAAAGAATCGCATCTGGAGCAACGATAGCGCTTCCCCCCCCCCCACACACACACACACACACACACACACACACACACACACACACACACACACACACACACACACACACACACACACACACACACACACACACACACCTCGTAATACAGTGGGCACTGACACGAGCAGCCCTATCCCTCGTGGTGCCATGACGGGCCCTTAGCTTTGATGGTGTCAGCCGCAGCTGCGTCCGCAAGGGCCCGCCGAGCTCTGCTCCTAACGAGGGCGGCGGTGGTGTCCCACTGGTCAATAGCAGAAACATCGCTGATGAGGCCCGCCGTCCAATTCCGTTTGGCGGCCTCCCCCGGAAGCAACGTCAGCCGCGGCATTGTCCACAGCTATGAACTTAGCACCGTCGATCGTTTGATTCGATATGGAGGGAATCCAGTCTACAAAAACTTCACCCTCACTTCGGCTCGCAAGAGCCCTTCAGGTCCGCAACCCAAGTCCCCACTCCAGCCGTCGCAAACACGAACCCTCCCCCGCCCCCACCCGTCAAGCAGACGCGTATGATCTGTGGCGAGCCGCATAGCGCCCGAGCCCTCAAGTGCTAGGGCAAAGGCGGTCAACCCAGTGAGGGGGACGGTCTGAGGCCAGTCGACACTCCCCTGAGAACTTCCCAGCCGCCCTGGGCACCTTGGGAAGGAACCGCCGCGCTCGAGACGCACCTTGTCGAAAAAGCGCCCAAAACGTCCCAAGAGGCCTGCAAAGAGCCTTCCCAAGAGGGCCCCTGCAGGCCAAAATCATTGATTATGCTTAGGTGTTGCTGTTGTTTGTGGGCGTTCCAGTTTTCTATCTTCTGACGCTCCAAGACGTCTCAAGAGGCTCCCAAGACCGCCCCACAACGGCCCAAGAGGGCCCCAAGACGATCCCGAAAGAGCCCAAAGACCGCCCAAAGCGCCTAAGACATCCCAAGAGAGCCCCAAGACGGCCCCAAGAGGGGCCCGAGAATGGGAGCCCAAGATGGCCCCAGGAGGCCCTAAGAGGCCCCGAAAGGCCCCCAGAAAGCCCACAAAACGCCCACGCGGGCACCAACACGGCCACCAAGAGGCATCAAAACTGCCTCAACGAGGCCTCCGAGAGGCCTCCCGCGACATCCCAACGAACAATCCTAGAGGTCTTTGAATCACAACCCAGGCACGGTGGCGGGATGGGCCGAATGCCAATCTATCCGCCGCCCACTGTCGACTCATCGCAAGGGTGCTCGACGTGCCAAATTATTATGGTTTTGGTTGTGGTTCTCTTCCCGAAAGAACTCACCCTGGGGCTTCGGCCCGTCCTGCCGGCCACCCGCAAGGCCCGCAACGTTCCCAATTTTTCGTTGGCCCAAGAAGGCCCAAGATGGTTCAGGATGGCCTCCAAGTCCGCCCAAGATGGTCCAAGACGGCCTCCCATACGGCCCAAGAGAGTCCAAGACGGCCGAAGCAAAAGGCCACCCAGAGGCCTCCAAGACGGCTCAAGAGGCCTCAAAGAGGTCCTCCAGGCGGGCCCGAAGAGACCAAAATCACTGATGTTCCTCAGGTGGTTGAAGGATGTTCGATGTCGCTGCTCCTCGGCTTTCCGACGACCCAAGACGGCCCACGAGGCCCCCGAGATCGCCCCCACAGCGCCCAAGAGGCCTCCAAGATGGCCTCAGGACTGCCCAAGAGGCCCCCAAGACGGCCCCAAGAGGGCACAACGACGACCCAGGAGGCCTCCAAGACGCCTAAGATGGCCTCTAAGACGGCCCTGGAGCACCCCAAAAAGGCCCGAAGTCGGCCCAAAAAGGCACCCTAAACGGCTTCCGACGGCGTCAGACGGGCCAGGAGCCCACCAAGATGGCCGAAGTTGGCTCGCAGCTGGCCCTAAGACGGCCCAAGAGGCATCCAAGAGGGCCTCCAGGAACGCCAGAAAGGCTAAAAACACTGATTTTCCATTGGTTTTCAGCGGATGTTGACATTTGCCTCGTTTCGGCCTTCCGACGGCCCGATAAGGCCCAATAGCCCCCAAAGATCGCCCAAGAGGCCTCCAAGATTGCCCCAGAACGGCCCAAGAGGCCCCCAAGACGACCCCAAGAGGCCCCCCAAGACTGCCCAGGAGGCTCAAGATGGCCTCCAAGACGGCCCTGGAGCATTCCAAGAAGGCCCCAAGTCGGCTCAGAGAGGCCCCCAAACTGCTTCCGTCGGCCTCGGACGGGCCAGGGGCCCACCAAGACGGCCGAAGATGGCACTAAGATGGCCCAAGACGGCCCAAGAGGCCTCCAAGAGGGCCGCCAGTAAGGCCCCAAAAGCACCAAATCATTGATTCCCCATCAAGGTTTGAAGGATTGTGGCATTTGCTTCGTTTCGGCCGTCCGACGGCCCGAGACGGCCCAAGTGACCCCAAAGATCACCCAAGAGGCCCAAGACGGCCCCAAGAGGCCCCCAAGACGGCCGAAGAGGCCTCCAAGACGCTCAAGATGGCCTCCAAGACGGCCCAAGAGCCCTCCAAGACGTCTTCCAAGAAGGCCCGAAAGGGTCAAAATGGCCTCCAGGCGGCCAAGATGACCTTCAAGATGCCCACGTGTTCCCCGAAGGCTTTCCAAACCGATTCGGGGAACGCATGGTCCGCTAGCTCGGCAAGTCTGGCCTCAACGTTCGGCCACATAGGCGCTTCCACAAAGGCAAGGGGCGGCGGTGAGATCCGCCGCCCCCTGTGGTATTGCCACAGGGGTGCCTGGCGTGCTGAGTTTCATATTGTGTCTAATGCTGGTGCCTTTCCGAAAGAATCGAAGACGCCGACCCCCTGCTTTCTAGGATGCGCCTATGTAGCCAATCGTTTGGGCAACAGTTGCCCACTTTATGATACCATGCGACCCCCAGCCGTTGAGGAAGCCCTTCGGGGGAACACACGGGGAAGGAAGAGGGGGACGAGGAGAGGCAGGAGACAGGAGGATGATGAGAAGGATGAGGAGACCTCTTGGGAGCTTCTTAGGTTATTCTTGGGTCCAAGGAGCTTGCTGGAGGCCTCTGGGACTAGTGGGGCCCTTTAGGAACATCTTTGGCTGTCGTACGGCGTTCCTGGCCCGTCTGACGCCGTCGGAAACCGTCTTGAATCGCCTTGAAGGCCATCTTGGGCGTCTTGGAAGCCGCTTGGGCCGTCTTGGGGCCATGTGGGGGCCGCCTTGGGGGCGTGTTGGGCTGTCCTGGGGCCATTGTGGAGACCTCTTGGCCGATCTGGACCGTCTTGGGCCGACGGAAGGCAGTTTGAAAGCAAATGCTTACTTCCTTCAAACTTCCTTCAAACACATGGGGCACATCCATGATTGTCAGCTCTTCATGGCTTCTGGAGAACCTCTTGGAGGTCTCTTGGGCCGTCCAAATGGCCTCAGGGGCCCTGCTTGTGCCGATGGCAGGAGCGAGACGCCGCTCCCGTCTGGGAAGCGCCTTCTGCGGCCAAGCGTTGGGCGTCAGTTTGGCCAAGCCGTCGGACTATGCATTCCTCCAGCCGCTCTGGAAGCTCTTCTGGAAACACTTGGGGGGGGGGATGAGGGGGAGGATCAGGAGAGGGAAGAGAAGGGAGGAGGCGGAGAAGGTTATTATTTTTGCTGCTAGAACCAGCCTGCCACACCTTGTCTCATCGGGCCGTCAGAGAAAAGGATGGGCGGGCGGGCACACTGAGGAGGTGCCTCAACGCCCACCCCCCGTTCAGTCCAGCGCTCTCTCCTAGAAGGCGTCCAGCTCACACTGTAAGAATGAGGCGTGCCGATGTAGTGTAAGTTGCGCAATATCTGTTGTGAAATCTACGTAGTGGAATCCATGTGGTGCCATGTGTTGTTCAGTGTGTATGGAGCAACCTACGCTGTGCAATCTATGTGGCGCAATCTACGTGGTGCAACCTCTGTGCTGCAATATATGCGGTGCAATCAATGTGGAGCAAGGTATGTGTGCGATATATATATATACATATATATATATATGGCGCAAGCTATGTTATGGAATGTAAGAACGGCAAAGAGCGGTGACGCCGGCGTGGACGATGACATGGCCGCCAGAGCGGAAAGCAGGCCTAGACGACGGGCGGCGACGAGGCGGCGACGGGGCAGCGACGGCAGGAGGAAGAGGAGGGGGGGGGGGGGGAACACATGTTTTTGGGGACAAGCCGCGTAGGCTTCGAAGGGAGGCGGGCCGACAAACTCAGAGGCGGGGAGACGCACAAAGCGAGGGCAAAAGAACAATCCCGGGGGGCGGAAAGCGCTCGCCGGAGTAGCGGAGGGGGAGAAGAAGAAATGTCCAGGGGAGGAGGACCAGCAGCGCAGCAGAGGAAAGTATCAAGATACCAACGACAAGGGAGGATGAGGAGGCGGGAGATTTCCAAGGGCAGTTCTGAAGCTCATGAAGGCATGGGATCGTAGCGCGTTCTTTACGTGCCTAAGGCCGCGAAGGCCCCACAGCGTCATCGGTCCCCTCAGGCTGCCCCGAAGGAGCCCCCAACTAAATCCTCACTCGACAAAGGCTGCACTCCCAAATCACGCCCTGCTCCGCCACTACGCGAGGGTCTACCGTCGCCATGTATGTTTTGAAGTCGCCTGACGGTGCTTTACGAGCCATCGGCATGGGGGATGGAGGTGGAATGCGGCAAGTTCATTTCGTGCCGACTTCGGCGGCGGTTTCTGATACCGCGTGGATCGTTCAATCTTGAACGATCGGCCGTTTCCGACACGTCAGATCGACTCTGGGTCGCCTGCGGCGTTCCACGTTGAAGCGGGATCGCCGCCGGTCGACACAACTCGACCCTACTGTAAGGCAGTCCACCAGCCCTCTGGACGGAATGGGTGCCAGGCGTTTCCTCTTCCAACCCCCTGCTTCCGCTTCAGGGAGGGCTCTATTCCTACCCACGCTCCCTCCCGTGGGTCTGGACGGGAGGAGATGCACGGTTTTAGAGCGTACAAGGTGGCTCCAAGATGGCCCAAGGGAGTCGAAGATCACCTCCAAGATGGCCCAGAATATCCCAGAATCGCCTCCAACATGCCTCTGAACGGGCACCAGGGCTGCTCCAAGACGGCTTCAAGCGGCCACGGAGCCGCCCCCCAGAGGCCGACATCCTTCCAAAACGAAGGACCACATGTTTTGTGTCTTCTCGCCTTTTCGCTTCCGAGGGGTCTTTGAGGGCTCAAGCTGGCTCCAATATGGCCCAAGAGCGCCCAAAGAGGTGCCCAAGAGGCCACTATCAGCGCCACCCCTTCGTTTGCTCGATGGCCTCCAAGATGGCTCCAAGCGGACCCCAAGGCTCCCCAGAGGGTTCCAAGAGACCCCCAAGAGGTCCTGACCTGCCCCCAAGATTGCCTCAGGGGGGCTCGGGCTCCAAGAAGTCCCCGTATCAAGAATCCACAACATCCTGTCCGGTTGAATCGTCGTCGTCGCCGTCTCCCTGGCCTTATTCCTGCCCGATCCTTTTCCTCCTCCGCTCAGGCTGATCCCAAGCTTCGGCCTGACGGCTGCTCCCTTCTTTTTCCACTGCGTGCTCATACGCTTCCTGGATCAATGCGACTCGCCTGGACATCGTTTCTGGATAATATGGTGGGGAGACGCGACGCAAAGCGTCTAGAATTGCCGATGGTTGCAATGGTATGGAAAATATGATGTGTAAAGATACACGTACGCTTTGAACGTATCGCATGTTCCTGGTGCTTGACAACATGGCCTTATTCCCCAATCAATGCTTGTTCTGAGGGATGCTAGCGGATCTCGAAAGACTTGGCAAAAATGTGCGGCCGATTTCGGTAAGCCGCCGGGTTTCCGGGTTCCCAGTTCAAAAATCCCAAGTTCCCGGTTCTGGGTTCTTGGTTCCCGGTTCCACGCTCCCAATCGCGGGGTTCCTGGGTTCCCGGTACCAGGTTCGATCGATCGACAGAGCGGGATCAATCTCACTATCGATCTCACTACCGATCGCACTATAGAACTCACTGTCGATCTGACGATCGTTCTCTTACTCACACCAAATTTTCAAAACATCCACTGATTGGTTTTCCCTGGTATAATATATGAACTTGCTTTCCACTACGTGCGAATCTCTCACCAACTCTCGAGGAGGGGGAGGAAGAGGATTCTCCTATACAGTTCTATCTGCAATGGCGCCAGCTCGCTGCTCCCTGCACTCATCCTTAATCGTCTTCCGTCGCAACTGGCCTCTGCCTTTCACGTTCTCACCTGACCACTCGCTCACTCCTTCTCGTAGCATTCTCCCTCTCGGCTCGCTAAACCTTCCTGTCTTCCCAATTGGCCTCGCGCATATCGAGCACGTGTGACCTTGCCGAGAAGCCAATTGCACCATTGACTGGTGCGGCCTGTGTGCGCGCAGGCTGGAACGAGCGAAGGACTCGAAAGAGCAGGACAAGTGTTACATGTTCTTAGTCCCCAGCGGAGGACCATGAAAAGTGAGACGAGCTGGAGACGAATGAGCCTAACTCATGTCATGGAGTGCACTCGCATATGTTCGACAATGCTGGCAAGAACTCCCCCTCTCCCTCTTAGTTGCCCTGCTCTCGTTCTTCTGTTTCCCTCTCTCTCCCTCTCTCTCCCGCTCTGAGCACGGAATTGGAATACACTCAGGTCCTCACGCGTTCTCTGTGTGGACAGCTGTGGTTACTCTGTGATGGATCTGCCCCCTAAATTCCGGGCATTCTCAGGGTGTAGATCGAGCAATGCTTTTGCGAGGCCTCGTGAGCGCGGTTGGAATCCCAACTCCAAACCTGCCCCAAGATGGTCCCATGGGCCCGTCCTGTGGCACTCTTAGGCCGTACGCCCCAGCGGCTGGCCCAAGAAACTAACATCATAGACAACATTACTTGTATCATTTCCGCACGCGTCCCACTTCGGTCGAGCGTCCAAGACGGCCCACCAAGCTCAAAACACCGCCTCAAGACGGCCTCCCCAGGGCCCCGGAGAAGGACCCGAGAGGCCCCCAAGAAGACTCCAAGGGGAGCCCGAGATAAGGCACTCGAAGGGGCCTTGCGGGGCCCTCCGCCGCAGAATGGCCCCGGCACCACCAGCACGACCCAAGAATGCTTCCAAGAGGCTTGTAAGAGACCCCCGAGATGACTTCTGAGAAGCCCCGACCGAGAGGTCTCCGAGAAGCCTCCTGTCCAAGTCCCCCGCAGGGTGGTGCCCCTCGTCCGTGTCCCAGGCGCGGTTGCGGGTCGGGCCGAAGATCTAATCATTTCTCCGTTCTGATTCCACGCTAAAAAGTTCAGGATGGACTCCAGCATCATTTATGCCAACACTCCCCCGCCCTTCTTTCAAATACCCGAACCTGTGCTCAAGCATGCAGGGTGTGGCCCCTGCCCAGAATGCGATAACCACCGTGCTCGACTATCATTGCCTTTTGTCGCGGTCTCGGAGCTTGGATGGCTGCGTGACGCCGCTCCTCTCACGGTCCAAGACAAGCAACATGCGTCTTTATGCCCTCTGTGCGTGGCACGGGAGCCACATCGTAGAGTCACTCTATCTCCTGTGGCGCCGCACTCGAAATTCTAGGAAGAAAGGTCCAGCTCCTGTCGGAAAATGGCAGCTGCTAGGTTGCGTACTACTCGCCGACAACTTCGGGTCATCGACGTGCGAGCGTTTCCCCGAGCCCCCCTTCAAGGCAGGCAGGCAAGAAATCCAGATTTGAATTGAGGCAATTGTGTTGTTGAGTCTCCAAGGCCCGTTCCCTCATTGTTGGCTCGAGCGATCCAGGCGGGCGCCAACAATCCAGCAAATGATTGCTAACATTGTCTCGGCTACTGCGATGTCCACGGCGGGGACGGCGTCGGAGATGGCGGAGACAAGGGTACTCACGGCAACTGTAATTGCAGCGAGACGGATAGCAACGTCTACGTCGGCGGCGACACTGGCGACGGCGATGCCAATCATGGCAATGACGACGACAAACATGGACACGGCGGCAAACACGGCGGAGAAGGCAGACAGCGAGGATCCCTAGAGATAATCTGGGCCAATGCCGGCGCGTGTCGAACTCTATGGCAAATACCTCGAGGAAGACGAACGCTCCCCTGAGCAAACCATGACCAAGCCCAGGAAATTTTGAGGCCAAGCCATCCAAACGCGACGCGAAGCTGGGCAGAACCCACCGCAGAAGGCAGTGCGCGAAGGGGCTGGGAAAGGAGAAAGCGGGACAGAGGCAGACGATCATAAAAAGGGGGATGCAGAGGACAGCCAGAAGAAGATGCGGTGGTGTCCTCGTCCTCGCCCCCTCCCTCGGGGGTCCCGAAACGGTGCGGTGGCAAACCGTGCGTTGACTTCAAAATGCCCAAAGACCTCACTGCACGGTCCGTCACCGCACGGCTCTGGGACTCTCAAGGGCTCCCAACTTCACGCTTCGCGCTGCGCGGAGCGCGAAGTGCAAATAGCTTCGCGCTCTCGCGCCGCCTCCCCGGGGAGAAGAGGAGGATGAGGAGGAAAGCCGAAGCGCGAAGCGCGAATAACTTCGCGCCCTCGAGGGCGCCCTTGGGACTCTGGAGGCCCCACTCGCCCGAGAAAGCCTCTGGAGAACGGCCCCCGGCCCAGACCGTGCGGCCACCCCGGGCCACCACCGGACTCACCACACGGCGTGGCCACTGCACCGCCTGGGGGCGACCCGCCCGCCTCCTCCGGCGCAGCCCTGGGCGTAGTGCAAGAGTTGGTTGCGCGCCGAGGGGGGCATGGGGCAGGGGGAAGGCTTCTCAGAAGGAGGCCGCTGCACAGAAGCCGCCGGCCCTACATCTGCACGTGCGGCCCGCGCCTTCTGAGAAGCAGGGGTTCTTCTAAGAAATCTTCCCCTAAGAAGGAGCCAGGACGAAGACCGGGTGAGGAGAAATCGAGAATCTCGGAGTTCTGGCGGTTCTGGAGGATGTTTCGGACGCCGCGGCCTTCTCAGACCGTTCCGAAACGCTCTGAGAGCGTTCCGGAACGCTCTGGAACAGGTTTCTCGTCGTCCTAAATCCCTCCTCGAAATCAAATGCAAGTTTTTCCCGCGACGTGGCGGCGCCCCAGGACCCCAGCATTTCAACGTTTGTGCCGAAATTGGCGACTGGCACGACACAAACATCGGACTCTGTGGGCCGCGTTTCGCGCGTGGATCACCATTAAAAGCTTGATTTCGAGCAGGGTTGCAGCCCCGTCCGATCCCCCCTCCCCCGCTCACCCCTCTGCGCGTGGCCGAAAAGGGGGGGCACGGCGGGCAGGAGGTCGCGCCGAGGCCCCCGCGCCCGCGGAGGGCGCCCCCCCTCCCCTGCTCGCAGGCCGCCCGAGACCCCCCCTCCTGCCCTCCGCCCGCTTCTCTGCCGCCTTCGCCACCGTCGTCCTCGCCCTCCCCAAGGGCCCCCGCGCGCTTTGAACGTCACGACGGGAGCAACTTGTGCTACTTGTGGCCTCTGGGGGCCCTTCCCGGGCCCGACAAAACAACTCCAGATGAAAAAGCGGTTCCAGGGAAGGGGTCCAGACCTTTCTTGAATGGGGGACCGACTACAGAATTGATGTACCCCAACATGGATTATCCGTCGAATCTACGACACATGCGTAGAATGCTCTACCGGGCATTCTGCGTATGTTTCGTAGACTCCACGAGCAAATCAAGTCTGGGGTAACTTAATTCTGTAGCCGATCCCCTACTCGAACCTCTGGGTCTCTCCCCCCCACCTGCTGCGCTGTCGCCTCCACCACCCGTCGTCGGCACCCCTCCCCTGGGGGGACCTCAAAGAGCCGATGCCGCTGCTTCGCGGACATCTCCCACGGACCAGAACTTCGAGGCGAATGCAGCCGTGGCGCCGAGGGCAGGCATCCCAAGAGGCCCGAAAAGGCCCCCAACCGAGGCAAACCTTGCGGGTCACCCGTGCGCTTTCCTCGCACCAGTGCACCTTCCTCCTCTGACCCTGCCCTCCGCTTCTTGGTCGTCGTCATCCCTCGTCGCCACCCCCCGCCCGCTCGCTTACCCTGGAAACGGATGAGAGAAGCGCGGGGGGAGGGGTGGGGCACAGCGATAGGGCGACGGGATCTAAGCATACCCGTTGCTCCAGGCCTGACCCACCCTAGGCCCAGGAGCGGTATGTGCGGCCTTCTGCCTTTGCCAGGGGAGCGTCTACACCGCTCCTGGGCCCAGCGTGGGCCAGGGCTGGGGCAGCGCATGCGTCTAGATCCCGCCGCCCTGCGAGGAACGGCGCGGCGCCTGCAGCCGCGTCAGCGGTATGTGCACGCCGATGGAGGCGCACGGCCCCGGCACGATGGTGTCCCGGTGCCTCGGCGGGGCGAGGGAGATCATTCAGGGGCGTTCAAGAGGCGGGCGTCCAAGAGGTGGGTTCGCAAGTCATGGCACGAGGCACGTGCGCGGAACGTGGGCGGGGGGCCAGGGGACGTGTTGAGATAAGAGGAGGGCCCATGAAATCTGGGGGTATATCATGGCCCTGACCATGATGTGCACCCCCCCTAGTCATCACCCCATTCTTGGCCGCCCCCGAGTCAAGGTAGGCTGCGAAAACACAACAACCCAAAGATCCGAGGCTCTGGAAAAAATGGAGCGGCCGATGTTTGTTTTTTTTCGGCCTCCGGGGCCCTCTTTAGCCCTCGGGGGCCGTAACAAAGACGACTAAGAAAAGCTGGCCCCGGGGAAATGGTCCAGCGCTCCAGGGGGTCCACACGTCGAAGAAATTGGAGCGCCAGATGCCTGGAAGGCGTCAAGCAGACGTTCGTGAAGAGCGAAATGGGACGCAGAACGACGAAGTAGTAATATGCCCCCCCTTGCAGGCGCACGTCCGAACCCGACATGTAGTACAGGCATCTTATAGATGGCTACAGAAGCGGCATGGACAGAACCCAAGAACCAAGCATAAAGTTTCTAAGCTAAAAAGCTTCTGAACGCGCGCGTCGGCCATGGGGAACCGACGCACACATTGTAGAAGTATGTAACCTCAGGCCCCGCCGTCGACCTCGCCCGCAATCCCCACCCCATCGGGAGCTCTGTTCGCGGGGCCCCCCACTCGACAATTCCTCGCCCGACAACGCCCCGCCGTCGACCTGGCCCACACTCCCCATCCCACCGGGAGCTCTGGTCTTGGGAACCCCCCACTCGACAATTCCTCGCCCGACAACCGCCCCGCCGTCGACCTCGCCCACAAGCCCCACCCTATCGAGAACTCTGTTCATCGGGGGCCCCCTCCTCGACAATTCCTCGCCCGACAACCGCCCCGCCGTGGATCTCGCCCACAATCCCCACCCCCTGGGGAGCTCTGTTTTTGGGATTTCCCACTCGACAATTCCTCGCCCGAAATCGCGCCGCCGTCGACCTCGCCCACCATCCCCACCCCAGCGAAAGCTCTGTTCTTGGGGCCCCCCACTCGACAATTCCTCGCCCGACAACGCCCCGCCGTCGACCTCGCCCAGGATGCCCACCCCATTGGGAGCTTTGTTCATTGGGGCCCTCGCACTCGACAGTCCCTCGCCCGACAACGCCCCGCCGTCGACCTTGCCCACCATCCCCACCGCATCGAGGATCGGGGCCTTTGTTCTTGGGGTCCCCCACTCGACATTTCCTCGCCCAGAAACGCGCCGCCGTCGACCTCGCCCGCAATCCCGGCCCCATGGGGGCTCTGTTCTTGGGGCCCCCCATTCGACAATTCTTCGCCCGACAACGCCCCGCCGTCGACCTTGCCCACATTCCCCACCCCATCGGAGAGTTCTGTTCTTGGAACCCTCCACTCGACAAGTCCTCGCCCGACAACGCCCCGCCGCCGACTTCGCCCACCATCCCCGCCCCATCGGGAGCTCTGTTCCCGAAATCGCCCCGCTGTCGGCCTCGTCCACAATCCCCGCCCCATCGCGAGCTCTGATCTTGGGACCCCCCCGCTCGACAATTCCTTGCCCGATAACGCCCCGTCGCCGACCTCGCCCACAATCTCCACCGCATCGGGGCCTTTGTTATTGGGCCCCCCCCCACTCGACAATTCCTCGCCCGAAATCGCCCCGCCGTCGACCTCGCCCGCAATCCCGGCCCCATCGGGAGCTCTGTTCTTGGCAATTCCTCGCCCGACAACGCGCCGCCGTCGACCCCCCCGCCCCCCCCCTCGCCCACACACGCACACATCTATCGGGAGCTCTGTTCTTGGGACCCCCCACTCTGCAATTCCTCGCCCGAAATCCGAAATCGCCCCGCCGCCGACCTCGCCCACAACCCCCACCCCCTGGGGAGCTCTGTTCTTCCTCGCCCGACAACGCCCCGCCGTCGACTCCGCCCACAATCCCCGCCCCCTGGGGAGCTCTGTTCTTGGGGTACCCCGCTCGACAAGTCATCGCCCGACAACGCCCCGCCGCCGACCTCGCCTACAATCCCTTCCCCATCGGGAGGCTTGTTCTTGGGACCCCCCGCTCGACATTTCCTCGCCCGACAGCGCCCCGCCGTCGACCTGGCCCACAATCCCCACCCCATCGCGAGCTCCGATCGCCGGACCCCCCAGTCGACCATTCCTCGCCCGACAACCGCCCCGCCGTCGACCTCGCCCACCGTCCCCACCCCCTTGGGAGCTCGTTTCTTGGGAACCCCCACTCGACAGCTCCTTGCCCGAAGCCGCTCTGATCGTGGGACCCCCCAGTCGACAATTCCTCGCCCGACAACCGCACCGCCGTCGACCTCGCACACCATCCCCACCCCCTTGGGGGCTCGGCTCTTGGGGACCCCCACTCGACAGCCCCTTGCCCGAAACCGCGCCGCCGCAGACCTCGCCCACAACTCCCACGCCACCAGGAGCTCTGTTCATGGGACCCCCTCTCGACAACTCCTCGCCCGACAATCGCCCCGACGCCGACCTCGCCCACAATCCGCGCTCCATCGGGAGCTCTGTTCCTGGGGGGCCCCACTCGACAATATATTCTTCGCCCGGCAACCGCCCCGCCGTGCTTCGCCCACAATCCCCACCCCATCGGGAGCATTGTTCTTGCAGCCCCCCACTCGGCAATTCCTCGCCCGAAATCGCCCCTCCGTCGGCCTCGCTCGCCCGCAATCCCCGCCCCATCGCGCGCTCTGGTCTTATGGCCCCTCACCCGACAATTGCACGAAATCGACCCGCTGCCGACCGCGTCCACAGTCCCTACCTCATCGGGAGTTCTGATCTTGGGACCCCCCACTCGACAACTCCTCGCCCGACAACGCGCCGCCGTCGACCTGGCCCACAAGCCCCGCCCTCTGGGGAGCTCTGTTCTTGGGGCCCCCCACTCGACAATTCCTCGCCCCACGCCCCGCCGTCGACCTCGCCCACTTGCTCTTGTGACCCATCACTCGACAAACCCTCGCCCGAAATCGCCCCGTCGTCGACCTCCCCCCCCCCCCCTCTGGGGAGTTCTGTTCGTGGGACCTCGACAATTCCTCGCCCGAAACCGCCCCGCCGCCGACCTCGCCCACAATCCCCACTCCATATGGAGCTCTGTTCTTGGGACCCCCCACTCGACAATTCCTCGCCCGACAACCGCCCCGCCGTCGACCTGGCCCACCATCCCCACCCCTGGGGAGCTCTGTTCTTGGGACCCCCCAGTCGACAATTCCTCGCCCGAAATCACCCCGCCGCCGACCTCGCCCACAATCCACACCCCATCGGGAGCTCTGCTCCTGGGCTCCCACTCGACAGTGCCTCGCCCGACTACGCCCCGCCGTCAACCTGGCCGATCATCCCCACCCCATCGGGAGCTCTATTCTTGGGACCCCCCGCTTGACAAGTCCTCACCCGAAACCGCGCCGCCGTCGACTTCGCCCAATCCACAACCCATCTGGAGCTCTTTGCTTGGGTCCCCCAGTCAACAATTCCTCGCCCGACAATCGCCCCGACGCCGACCTCGCCCACAACCCCCACCCCATACGGAGCTCTGTTCGTGGGACCCGTTGCTCGACAATTCCTCGCCCGACATCGGCCCGCCGTCGACCCGACGTCCTGGCCCACCATCCCCAACCCCATCGGGGGCTCTGTTCATGAGGCCCCCCACTCGACAATTCCTCGCCCGAAATCGCACCGCCGTCGGCCTGGCCCAGAACCCGCACCTCATCGGGAGCTTTGTTCTTGGGACCTTCCATTCAGCAGCTCCTCGCCCGACATCGCCCCGCCGCAGACCTGGCCCAGAATCGCAGCCCCCTGGGGAGCTCTGGCCTTGTGGCACCCCATCGCGACAAGTCCTCGCCTGGAACCGCCCCGCCGTCGACCTCGCCCACCATCCACACCACATCGAGAGCTCTGTTCTTGGACCCCCCCCCCACTCGACAATTCCCCGCCCGAAATCGCACCGCCGCCGACCTCGCCCACCATCCTCACCCCTGGGGAGCTCTGTTCTTCCCCCCCCCCCCACTCGACAATTCCTCGCGCGAAATCGCTCCGCCGTCGACCCCGCCCACAATCCCAGCCCCATCGGGAGCTCTGTTCTTGGGGCCCCCCAACTCGACAATTCGACCTCGCCCACCATCCCCGCCGCATCGGGAGCTCTGTTCGTGGGGCCCCCCGCTCCACATTTCCCCGCCCGACATCGCCCCGCCGTCGACCTGGCCCACAATCCCCACCCCATCGCGAGCACTGATCTTGGGCCCCCCCACTCGACAATTCCTCGCCAAACATCCCGCCGTCGACCTTGCCCAGCATCCCCACCCAATCGGGAGCTCTGGCCTTGCCCCCACCCCCCCCCCACTCGACAATTCCTCGCCCGACATCGCCCCGCCGCCCACCATCCCCGCTTGTTCGGGAGCTCTGTTCTTGAACCCCGCCCCATCGACACTTCCTCGCCCGAAATCGCCCCGCCGTCGACCTGGCCCGCAATCCCACCCCATCGGGAGCTCTGTTCTTGGACCCCCCCCACTCGACAATTCCTCGGCCAATTCCTCGACCGAGATCGCCCCGCCGTCGACCTCGCCCACAACGCCCAACCCATTGGGAGCTTTGTTCTTGTGACACCACTCGAGAATTCCTCACCCGAAATCGCCCCGCCGTCGACCTCGTCCACCAACCCCGCCCCGTCGGGCGCCCTGTTCTTGGGACCCCCCACTCGACAAGTCCTCGCGAGGAACCGCCCCGCCGCCGACTTCGCCAACTACCCCCACCCCCATCGGGAGCTCTGTTCTCGGAGCCCCCCACTCGGCAATTCCTCGCCCGACATCCCGCCGTCGACCTCGCCCACCATCCCCACCCCTTTCGGGAGCTCTGGTCTCAGGACCCCCCCACTCGACAATGCCTCGCCCGACATCGCCCCGCCGTCGACTTGGCCCACAGTCCAC